TACTCTTAGAAAACTTTACATTTGCACTGAGATGCCCAAGAATATTTAAGTTACCCCCTGTAATAAATACGCAGCGTTCTGCTACGTTGGTATCAATTAACTTACTATCAAAATCAATAATGTTATGAATCTTATTACTTATGAACGTTCTCATCGAACCAGTGTCAATTAGTGCAAGTACCTCTACGTTATTTATAAAACATTTAATAAAAGGTTGTGTGGGTATTGAAATATCATTACTTTCACGACTTACCCCAGGGCGATCTGTAACCCCACTTATCGTATCGCCCGCTTGGAGTTTAAATGGTTAGCACAATCCTTGGCAAAATGTCCGTATCCCTGGCATTCATAACATCTGTTGGAGTAGTCAGTCGTCTGGCTCTGATTTTGTCTCTGGTCATTGTACCAACAATCCCTGGCGATGTGGCCCATCCTTTTACATACAAAACACTTTTTGTTGCTTCGATTCTGCGTCGGCTCCGGCTTTCTATCTCGTTCAGTTTTCGAGAGCTTCTCTTCTAAATTCTTTTGTCGTACGGCGATGTCTGAAACCAGCGCAACTAAACTGGCCATATCGTTGCCACTCTTTTCGCTCGCAACACCAGCACTACGAATGTCACTGTCTCGATCTGTGTAGTCCTGAATAGCTCGGTATCGTTGAACAAACGAAACCGCCATTTTAGGGAGATCTGGCGTTGGATCACTTTCCAATAGCTTTAGTCTGATGTGTTTTGGCAGACCTTTCATAAATTGTCTCGTCAATAGCGCTGTCTTCGCTCTTGTGTCGATATTCGGCTCAGCCTTCGTAAGGATTTGTTCCAATTCCCACTTGCAGACTGCTGGATCTTCCCCTGGTGTTAGCAATCTCGCTTCGAACTCGGCATAAAGTACTTCTTTGCACGCTGGAGGACACATGGCTTCTTTTAAAGCTTTTGTAGCATCGGCATATGTCTTACGACTGTCCTGGTTGAGTGAGTAAAAGTGGCTAGCTGCTTCACCTCGAAGGAAAGCTGGTAATTTCTTAATTTTGGCTGCTGCGTCCCATTCATTTGCCTCCGCGCAAGCATCATATTCACGAAGCCACGTTGTTAAATCGCCTCGTTCAAACTTTGAAGGTAGAATTGATGTCGTCATTTCTAGGTTCGATCTATACCGCTGCCACCAATTTGTAACGTGCCGAATTTATGCTTGCGAGAGAAACGCACACTTTGAGTTCCAGTTTGTAACTCACTTTTATTGCCTCGTGCTATCCTATTCATACATCAGCTTATTTCTATCAACATTCCTACGTCATACATTATTAGTTCTCGGTGTTCAATTACAACTGTTACACAAGGTTGTTGGGCTCAACAGACTTGTTACAAGTTGTTCCAACAACTTGTTATCGTCCTGTAATTCAGCAATTTGTCAACAAGTTGTGAGTGACAACCTTGTAGCAAGTTAATAAAATAACAGCATTGTTGCAACTTGTTGACAAGCTTGCTACAAGCCTGTTGCGAACACATCTTGTTGACAAGTTGTGAGATTTTTACGTGTGTACCATGCACATGCAAAAATCTCACATCTTGTAGAGATAGTCTATGGATGAGACTATGCAGGCAAATGTCGCTTTTTATAAACTGGATGTATGATTTGAAAGATCGTTCTAGTACCCGCTCAGTCGGCCAGTCCTAGCGGGCGACTTGTGGCAAGTCTATAGGTATTCAGGCAATTACACACGTAAAAATCTCACATTTTGTCAGCAAGATGTGTTCACAACATCCTTGTAGTAAGCTTGTCAACAAGTTGTAACAATGTTGTTATCATTTCAAGTTGTTACATGGTTGTCACTTACAACTTCTTAACAACTTGTTCAATTACAGGACGATAACAAGTTTTTGGAACAATGAATGACATGCAAAAGATTTCTGAAAAGTGACTCTATAGTTTTGTGAGCGAGTTCACTCATTTGCATCCTTCTGAAAGACAAAATCACCGACAAAATTGCTAGCGTGAACCAGGCTTTAAGTTCAACAACCTTGCAGCAACAAGCTGGGAAACAATTTATATTTTGTGATTTTCAAGTCAAAATCGTTTTCGAAAAGCCACTGTATATTACTAAATGACTAAAAAATAAAGTTTAGTGCTGCCTTACTGTATTTTGAAGAGAACAGCCACTGTATATTATTAAATTACTAAAAAATAAAGTTTAGTGCTGCCTTACTGTATTTTCAAGAGAACAGCCACTGTGTATTACTAAATTACTAAAAAATAAAGTTTAGTGCTGCCTTACTGTATTTTGAAGAGAACAGCCACTGTATATTACTAAATTACTAAAAAATAAAGTTTAGTGCTGCCTTACTGTATTTTGAAGAGAACAGCCGACATGGAAATTAACCGCGGAGAAAAGACCCGCGACAAAATATCCGCCAAAAAACCCGCGACTTGCGTTAATAACCCGCGAAAAATACCCGCGACCCACGAAAAAAAACCGCGACCCGCGACAATTAGACTATCTCCATATTGTAGCAAGTCTGCCAAAAGCCGCCAACAAGTTGTGTTCGCACTGCTTGTCCCAAGTTGTCAGCAAGTATGGACAAGCTTGTTAACAGTTGTAACAAGCGTTGAAGGTTTTTTAAACCTAACCAGGAGCTGCGAGCAGTTGCGAAAAATGCAACTGCAGACCCTCTGTCAGGAATCCAACCTGCGTCTCTGCGATTCATGTGCAACGCTCTAACCAACTGCATGAGCTACACAGAGACAGTTGTCGAGCTTTATTAACCACGAGTTGATGTTATTCATGTATCCATACTAAATATTTTCCTGGTATAAAAGATCATTTTCTGGGAACTAATTTCCATATTTTGAAACACGAAATTCTTGTTTACATAATTTAACCAGTCGGAAGTCAGTATCAATATGAGGTGACGACATTTGATCACAAGAAATTAGATATTCTATTTCATGCCAGAAAATTCCTGTCTGGTAATTAAAAACCCTTTGAACACTTTATGCGGAAGCGATATTTGTCTGCTGCTTTAAACAGATCATTTTGTTAAAGATTTCAAGCAAATGCTAACACAGACTTTCTCGAAGAACGAACACTGTAACTATCTATATTGTGTCTATATAGCGAGGTTAACACTACAGAGCGACTAACATCAACACAGAACTTGCTTTGTTATTACGAGAGAAAAATGGCGTGAAATTTATGGCGTCTTATATACAAGGCTATGATGAGGAAAGGTTCGCAGTCAAAGTTAATCGAAATTTCTTGTGTTTGATTTGCTTCAATGTCCTTAAAGACCCGGTTCTGTGTCCGAGAAATCAACATTGTTTCTGTCGTGCTTGTATTACGAAACATCTCGAGAATTCTCGAAAATGCCCTACGTGTGCGGACGAACTGACGGTAGAGACTTTGGCCAAACCACAAAGAATGATAAAAGACTATTTAGATGAATTAAATATTCATTGTGTTTACAACAACAGGGGTTGTGAAGAGATCGTACAACTGCAACATCTTGACAACCATGAGGCTACATGTGGATTTACGCCGGCCGTTTGTACAAACCCAGGCTGTGGTGCAATTTTAAACCAGCGTGATCTTATTAACCACGAAAGTGAACTATGTGAATTTCGCAAGTTGAAGTGCCACTCGTGCGGGGAAATGACAAAAACGTTGGCAGATATTGAGAAAAGAATGGCAAGGATCGAGACAAATCTGGCGACTGTCGAGACAAATGTGGCGACCAATATGGCGAAAATGGCGACTGCGGTTGCCATGGAAACCCGCATGAATGATATGCAAACAAATGTCGCGAATGTAGAGACACAAATTGCAAATGTGGAAAAGAACATAGAGATGAACATGGAGAGAAACAGCGCAGACATGGAAGGAAAACTCGAAGCAGTGAATAATGAGGTGAGAGGATTGAAAACAGCTTTGATTCAAGGTTTTGATGAAATGAAGGATGTTCTTGTCAAGATGGAGGACAAGATAGAAGAAAACGCAAGAAAAGTAAGAAATGCAGCAAGTGGTGATAAGGAAAATATAATTGTGGCTGGAGGTAATGGAACTGACTCTGTAGAGATGTTTAACTGGCGTCAAAGAACATGGTCGCCATTACAATCCTTGCCAAAGAAGCGTTATGCAGCAACTTCATTTGTATACAACAATCATGTGACAATTGCTGGAGGTTGCTGTTCTGACTTTGTCGATGATATGATTAGAATGAATATAAACCCAAAACCTGATCTCTCAACACACTGGAGTGACTGTCCTGTTAAACTGCCTGGTAAGTTGGTATCCCACAGCAGTGTGCTGTATAATGATCAGCTAATAGTCACTGGTGGTTATAATGGAAAAGTAGTATTTGACTGTATTCATGAAGTCCAGCTTAACCCTCCTTATACTGCGAAGACCTTATCAAGAATGCCAGAACCAAGAGTGTACCACAGCACGCAATTATTTGATGATAGTTTGTTGATCGTGGGTGGAAGTACAGCTGCCAGTTACCAAAACAGCTGCAGCAGTGTCGTACTGTATGATATAAAGAAGAATGAATGTAAACAGTTGGCACCACTGCCGTATGAAGTGAGTGACATGGCAACTGTGAGATGGGGAGACAACATCATTCTTATAGGCGGCATTGACAAACGTGGCAATCGATTAGATACAGTGATCATTTACAATGTCAAGACTGAACAAAGTTGCATGTTGCCGGCAATGAGATGTAAAAGATGCAAATGTACTGCCGTTGTTATTGGAAACAACATTGTAGTACTGGGAGGAGTGGGTGAGCAACGACGTAACTTAAAGTCAGTTGAAGCTTTCAACTTTGAAAGTTATACTTGGCAAGAACTTCCAGAAATGTCTCAAGCAAGATGGTGGCATACTGCTGTTCTTGTGTGAACAATGTAAGAATGTTGAACCTTTAAATTAGACTAAAAATCCTATGGGAAATTGTAATATTATACTGTGATAGTTTGGTTTGTGTAATCAAAATTATATTCAATTTTTTAACCATGCATATGGTAATATTGAATTAATTTTTTGAGTGAAAAGTATATCCTAGTCAAACAAGGATGAGAGTTGATGAGAGTACGTTGGAACTCTCGCTCGCGTTTGAACGCCAAATCTCATCGACTGCTCTTGCATTAGATCTGTTATGGAATATGCGTGTCAGGTCTTTCATAATAATCTGCCAGCATATTTGTCGAATGAAATCGAAAGGATTCAGAAACGAGCAATGCATGTGATCTTTCCAGACCTCAGTTATAATGATGCGCTTGCAGAGACTAAACTTTCCAAACTTGGTGCGAAAGATGGGAGAAATTGAGTGGTGATTTATTTAGTAATATTGTTCAGAATGATAATAAATTATAAATTAGCCCATCTATTACCTCCTAGAGTTAATGTATCTCGGAACATGAGGAATCCTAGAACTTTTGAAATTCCGATGTGTTACACAGATCGGTTCAAGAAATCATTTATAGTGCATTTCGCTTATATTTTTAACTTAGATTCGTAATTTTATATTTTTAAATTTTTCTTAATTAATCTTGCAAATATAACATAAATTTTACCAAATTCGTTGTAAGAGTTTTTCAGCGTAATTCAGTCTTTGACGGCAAAGCTGGTACCTTTTGTAATAAATGATTTATATATGTGTCATCGTCAACTGTTGATCCGGTTTAAAATTTTGATAATATGATCGGTAATATCCAGTCAACTCTTATCAACCCTCATGCAATTCTTGTTCTCATTTGAGAACATTTTCATGCACGCAAACTCTCGCTTGGTAAGGCTGTAAGCAAATGAATAAAATAAACATATTATGGATGATTCCAAGAGTTAATAGCATAGGATACTTTTGAATTCACTGCAAATAATCCCCGAGTATTTTGAACCAAAAACACTCACAGTCTGAGGCAAAACCGAATACTGTAGCTAACTGTGAGGACTTGAAATGCTGCTAGTCTGATTTTGAAGTTTGAAATGACATCTTATGCTCATAAATCAATATTGATAGTGCAGTAAATAAATAAACACGTGTTGAATTTTAATTATACCGTACACACGGAAGAATCTCACATCTTGTAGCAAGTCTGCCAACAAGCCGTCAACAAGTTGTGTTCGCACTGCTTGTCCCAAGTTGTCAAGAAGTTTGGAACAAGCTGTTAGCAACTATTAACAATCTCGTTGATATTATCAGACTTGGTTTGTTCCAACAAGTCCGATATACAGTCGTGATAAAACAATATTGTTAAAACCTTGTGCCATCAACCTTGTAACATTCTTGTTATATCATGACTGTGTAAGACTTGTTAGAACAACCTTGTAACAAGTCTGATAATGCCATCGAGCTTGTTAGAAGTTGTTAACAGCTTGCTCCAAACTTGACTTGTTCCAAGAACTTGGAACAAGCAGTGCGAACACAAATTGTCGACAGCTTGTGAACAGATTTGTAACAACTTGTTTGCAGACCTGTAGCAACGTGTGCGTTTTTACCTGTCTAGACACATAAAAACGGACAAGTTGTAACAAACTTGCAGCAGAGTTGTAGCAATGATGTTCCAATGACATGCCATCAACCTTGTTACAAGATGATAACAACTTGTTCCGGACTTGTCAACAACTGGGAACAAGCAGTGCGGACACATCTTGTTGACAAGGTGTGAGATTTTTACGCGTGCAAGACACTTAAAATTAATGCAAAATAATATCAAAATTGTCTGGGACAATAATGAAATGCCTTCAAATGGACATCTAGCCTCTAGGGGAACCATACTGAACTGACAGAGCTATCCAGTTTCAAGTTACTCAAGTTATAAGTTGAGGAAAACTAACGCTGAGTTTATATCTATTATTTGAAGAACGTCACGAAGGGTGCAATGACGAATATCTTATTGATTATCACCAAACTGAAAGAAAGATCACATTTATTATCGTGCCTAGAAAAGGTAAGCTTTTTCAATACATTTGCCCGACTGAGAGAGTCCTCTAGCGTCTCTGGAACGCTATTTCATGCATTTTAGACACGGTTTAGGATAATATAAAATTTGGCATATTTTATGTCATAGATGAAGACATTATGAGGTTACGCCCCCCCCGCCCCAGTTTCTACTCAGTTTTGACAGAATTACAAAATTGGTACTGACGAATAGTGGGGAAGGGCTGCGGACCCCACCATCCCACTCGTGGGTACGACTCTGTTTTCTGTTTTTGTTAAAGGAAATAGAAACGCCAGGCAAAACAGTATTTTGTAAATAGATTTAATCTGGATGAGCAAAAACAAACACAGTGAATAGGCCCAATGAAATGATCAATCGTTGCAGCAACGGGAGTAAACCGTGAACTACTAGAATTGACGTCCAATATTCATAGGAAGGTCGCCGAACACCATTTTCCGCAGCTAATTCTAGTTTCTTCTGACGGACCGTATCGCTAAACAGGCTATCAGTTCATAAAACCATAGTGTTATTCTTTAAATCGATGTCAAAATACGAAATTCGGCACACGTCTTGCTAGCCTGTGTTCCAGTCCACTGACTGGAGGCTAACGTCTTGCCAGCTTCGTGCCAACCGCGCAGACAAAATCAATAGAAAGGGAGTGGGTTGACGTCCAATAGATCTTCAATTTCCGTCATCTTTGGCTTCACTTTTTGGACTCGAGTTCACGCTCCAGATATATATGGAGCTCATTGATATCACATTCTTTTGTAGGAAGTTCACGAAGAAGGGAAGCTGCCAAATGTGTTGGAATCGCTAAAAAAATCCTTCAAACGCCGATCAAGCCATTTGTTCCCGCGGATAACTCAGATTTGGTCGAAGGACACGCGCCTTCCCCCAGCCCGCATGCTGATGACCTGCCCATAAACTGTCATCTAAAAATAGTCCACAAATGCGGTTGGGATGAAGGAATGGTTTTTGTTAGAAATTTCTTTGCTTTTTTCTAACCCGCATTCATAAAAATTCTGACATTTTAGCGTTTCGTAACGACTCATTTCTTTTCAAAACAAGAATTTCATCCATTCCTACACTGCGGTAAACAAGCTTAACCGACTACCAACTGTTGAAGCAACAAACTAGATAAAAATGACCGACTTAAATTTTGTCTAAACTTATCCCACATTTGTAAAATCATTTTTGAGCAACATACTTTTTCAACCACAGACGCTGGCTTAAAATAATTTTGCAAGCACTGCTTTGCTGGGAACACCAAACTCTTGTTGTATTTTGAAGTCAGCGTGATCTGCGATCTTCAAATGATTTGTTGTGTTTCTATCCAATGAATATTCATCCATTTATTCAGCTGATAAATTGAGACAATTTTTTTGCTTCTTTTCAACTAAAAGTAGTTTGGCTGACCTTTCTGGTAGATCCTGGCCGGTCTATCAAGCCAGTTTTTTGAAAAACATACAATCAACAATTTTCTGTGAGATACGATCATACATTTGAAAGCAACTGGATTGCTTTGGACTATACCATCGTATAATATATTTTCTAGTCAGGCTAGTGGTTGATACACTGACCTCTATATATTATTATGTATATTAGATTCGGTTGAGTGAAAAGGGCGATCGCTCCGGCTAGCTGATCGTCTATATAGGTAACGTTTTAACCTTGTTAGCTTGGAAAGCCACGAGAAAAAAGGTTTAAATGTATATTATCGCATTACACGTTGAATTGATATCTAGACATCTAGTATGTGAAAAATATGACAGGTCATTAATTATTGCAAATTCCATTGTACGAACAATCATACTTTATCTTGATATATACACAAGTTATTTAACATTAATGTGGAAAAATAAATATTGACTTTGTCTAATCTGTTTTCTTTATTTGTTTTGTATTGAGAAGATTGTCCTAAACTTTAACAACAGAACTATTTATGTTCATACATAACTATTTATGTTTTTCCGGAGGTTGTCCAGTAAAGATCATTTCTTATTGATCCAGTGTTACTACAGGAAGAAACCTAAACTAAACTAACTTTATTTACACTGGATAGCTTTATCAGTTTTAAACTGTTCTTCCTGGAGGCCAAGCAAAGATCATCTCTTATTGATCCAGTGTTACAACAAAAAGAAACCTAAACTAAACTAACTTTATTTATACTGGTTAGTTCTATCAGTTCTAAACTGTTCTTCCTAGAGGTACTACAGGAGGAAGCCTAAACTAAACTAACTTTATTTATCCTGGATAGTTCTATCAGTTCTAAACTGTTCTCCCTAGAGATCTAGTCAGGATCATCTCTTATTGATCCAATGTTATGACAGGAGGAAACCTAAACTAACTTTATTGATACTGGATAGCTCTATCAGTTCTAAGAAAACTGTTCTTCCTAGATGTCCAGTAAGAGTCATCTCTTATTGATCCAGTGTTACTACAGGAGGAAACCTAAACTAACTTTATTTATACTGGCTAGCTTTGTCAGTTCTAACTTGTTTTCCCTAGAGCTCTGTTTTGCTTTGTTTGAAACTGTGTTAAATTCACATGAAAGTAACCACAAAACAAGATTTCCATACAATGTAGTGTTCACTGGGCTGCTCCGATTGTTCATGGTTGGATGCAAACGACGGTACTTTGGGTTGATAACATTTGCTAGTAACATGAAGTACGTAGCGTTCAGCTGACGGTATTGCGGGCGTTTTCGTTTCTTCAACCGGAGAATATGCTGAAAACATGGCTGCTGGTAGGAGGTGAGTATTTTACTTTCAGTTTCATTCAATTCGTTGAGCTCTCATTCTGAGGCGTTTTGTTTATATTTTAGCACAAAATTGGATCGTGTGTTCTTGCGTCGTTTCAAGAAATGTCTTGGTATAATGTTTCCAACTTGGCTGGCGACCTCCACGCTTCTGTTTGTGCTGCTCTTGGGCTTGTCCTTTTTACGTAAGGAAAAAATGCCTCGTGTATTAGGAGTCTAGAGTACATTTTAATTTATGACAATGTGGTGTTGTCAAGGTAGTTTGATATAGATATTAAATCTTGTGTAGTATGTAGTGATTTCTGGAATGTGCCCAAATATTTTCAATGAGGGATACAAAATTACGAAATTAGGCTATTCCATTTAAAAGATGTTACCCCCCTATTGAGGACAAAGGTTTTACCATATCCCTGAATAATTCCTGACATAAAAGAGATCCCTGAAGAATTCCTGTTAAATAGCATTTACCCCTGATGAAATCAGCATTTACCCCTGAAGAATTTCAATGTTTATGTCTTACCCCTGAGGAAATCTCATTCAAAATAACCAACCCCTGAAGAATTCCACAGGAGAATTTGTTTGCCCATGAGGAATTCCAGGGTTAAAATTACCTTACCCCTGAAGAATTCCAAGGTCCTCGATAGGGGGGTTACGGATATTAAATGGAATAGCCCAATTTACGTAGCAATTATAGGATTCCGAGGCCAATTCAGAGCTTCCATACTGTTCTAATATTCTAGTGGCCCTAAAGATATTTTCATATTATTTATATAATGGCTGACCCTTTACTGTAATATCGGAACTGCTATTCCATTTAATTTCTGCATCCCCCTGTCGTTATACCCCTGAAGAATTCGTGGCTAAAAACACTTACCATGAGGAATTGCAAGTATAAAATCACCTTTGAGGAATTCCATGTTTCACAAACTTTTACCCTTAGGAACTTGGGTTTTTGTCAATCCTTTTCTCCTGAAGAACTCCAATGTAGAAACCAGGAAAAGCATTTATTGTACAGACAGTTTGAACCACCCCCCCAAATAACAATTTGCTTCTGAATGATGACACTGATAAGTGTTTAAGCATGATTGGCAAAAAAAATTGCTGTCAATGATTTCATTTTCAGTGCTGGCAATTGCCATTTGCCACTGATAGTTGTGATTTGTGGGGACTGAATGAACTAAAATCATTAAAATGCTAGTGGAATAATTATCCATCAACCATCAGTAACCACCAGTCAGGTGGCAGGGGGCATAGTTAAAAAATTACCCAAAGGTGTGAAATATATGGCAGTATGTAAGAGTGTATTAATTTCATAACTTAAATAACATTTACTGTAACTTTAACTACCTTACTATAAATATCGGAAAATCAAAATGTGATTTTGTGCATGTGATTTTACGTTTTGTGATACAGTACTTCTGCGTCAGGCCGTCAGCCTAGAACCAGGCCTTTTATTTTTATTCTTAATATTCAGTGCTTTTTCACATGAGAAGACTGGGACCTAGGCAATTTGAGGCTAGCCTGAAATTGCCCAAACCTGCCAAGTAAAGGTCTATAGGCTGAGTCTGCATGCATATCAATTTTGAAAATTTTGGGACACACAGGAATGCCATTATCTGCACTCTGTACAGTCAGACTCGGGCATGGATTTAGTAGTATATGACTACTACTGGAAGTAGGGTTGTTTACTGGCTTGATGTGTGTACCAGTTCAGAGCGAGGGGGTTGCTATTTTTTCATGATAAAGCAAAAAAATGTTAGAGTACAGTAATTTGAGTAACAACATGATGATAAGTGAACTGTGAACAACAATTACAATTCATATACTGCAGTCAAGCAAGACTTTGCAAGTAGTCAAGAAAGTTGATGGGCGGGCGGCATACATGATCGATACAACTCGGCACCAGAGCTGGCAGAGCACCCCTGGCAATACGATCATGCTGGATCCATCCCTGGTGAGACCAATGGTTGAGGGATAGAATCAATGGAGCAAATCTGATTTTTTGTGTGTGGGGGCAGGGGGCAATTGCACACTCCTGTTACAATAAACAAAATTTAAAAAATAGGATTTCAGGTTTCAAATAATCCTTTTGTTAGCATGCATCTTCAAATTGTCATTTTGGGGAAAATTGCCATTGAATTCATGCTGTCAAACTGTAAAATATCAAGAGTGGCATTTTTTGTGTAATGTTGATTTTTTGAAATGGCAATTGGGACTGACAATGAGTATCATTCTATGTAGAGCAAGCATTGTATTACAACTCTGGTTTGATTCCAAGTCGATATGTTGAAGTGATGGTTGACAAAGACCGCTCTGGATTTCAACAAGTCCTTGTTACTTCAGTCATTGTTATCATCAGCACATCCCTGGTAATTTACACCATCACCACAGAATAGAGACCAACAGAAGCCTGACTTCTTGTCTGCACTTATGACACAGAATAAAGACACACAGAAGGTCGACTCCATGATGACTTGTCAACGTCGGAAAATCTCGGTTCAAAACTGAACCGAAAATGCAAGACTTGCTTTAATTGTTTTCTGTCAGTGTTTATATGTATTGATCTAGCACAGTGTAAATAACACGAGTTCCATTATAGTAAATTATACAGAAAGAAATTGAAGGAAAACAATTAAAGCAAGTATATTGCATTTTCGGTTCAGTTTTGAACTGAGATTTTCTGAAGTTGACAAGTCTCTCTTTCTCGCTCCGCCCCTCCATACTACGTCATGTAATGTACACTATAGTGGATCGATATGACAATGAAAGAGAGACTTGGAGCAAGTCTATGGCTTAGTGCGCTTATGAGAGGCATTCCCCCCCTGGACATCTGCCTTTTTTAATATTATCAGGGGGGAGAATGCCTCTCATAAGCACACTGGCTATGACCATGGCGTCAGCATTTTGATGACGATTTACGGTTACGCTAAAATCATAGGGAAAACCAATAAGCCGTGCTTCTGTATAGTCTCTACTCTGTGCTTACGATATTGGCGTAACTGTTGCAATGCTGTTGCCATGTTCCTAGCCAGTGCGCTTACAAGAGGCATTCACCCCCCTGCATATATTCAAAATGGAGGATGTTCAGGGGGGTGAATGTCTCTCATAAGCACACTGGTTAGGAACATGGCGAGTGCATTTTGATGAAGAATTGTAGAGCACAGGACAAAGAATAATAAAATTCTGGCTAAAGAATAATATAAAGAATAATATAAAGAATAATATAAAGAATAATATAAAAAATAATATAAAGAATAATATAAAGAATAATATAAAGAATAATATAATTCTGGCTAATTTAAACAGAATTCCAGGTTAATAGTTCACCTAACATAATCTGGTTAATTCAACCATATAGCGTGGTTAAATTAGACAGGATAGTGATCAATTTTATAAAACATCATTTATTGAGGTTGCATGACATTATATTTTTGTGCTAGATTTGCATCTCCAAAAATTCCTACTTTTGCCCAACTTTTCCTGAAATTTTAGTCCTACTTTTATCCCAAATGCCAGAAAGACTGCTGGTGATTTGCAATTTAATTGTTCTTTTTGTTGGTCAGGTTAAAAGTTTGGTGAGTTTTGTGTCTGGTGTTTTGTACGTGAACTGGAGAGGAAGTCTGACGAGATTTATCCACAAATTTTATTTTGCTCAAGACAATTACTATGAACTGAATGTCCTACAACGAGATATTGATAACTTGTGAGTAAAATTATAGATTTCAAAGTATCTCAGAAAATGTACGAAAACATACACTTAAAGGTCGTTTTCCACTAGGCGGAATTTCTCTTTGTCTTTTCTAATTATTTCCACCCGAGAAATCACAAGACAAAGAGAAATTCCGCTCCGCGCGGAAAATTCCGCCTAGTGGAAAACGCCCTTAACCCACTGATTGCAATGCAGCGCTCTCCCCTTGACGAATAACATTGTCTGGCGTTAGACAGAGTAAAATAATAAAGTAGGGCAAATCAGCACACAATGCAACTCAATGGGTTAATACAGCTCATTTGTGTTTATCTGAAATTCCTGAGACAACTAGCATTCTCCTATATTCGAGTTAGCGTCATCAATTTTCCATATCGCTTTCTACGGCGTTTTGGTAAAAATGGTCCCAGATTTGAAATTACCCTGCTCAAATTATCTTCACAAAAAATTTCACATTGTTCAGAACGTTAGCGCGTGAGTTGACTGCCATTTGCTACTTGCAGTAAAGCTCATTTTCTCATGCTTTGAAAATTTGGAAAATTCTCGAGAAACTTTTTTTATTTCTTATATACAGGAAATGAATACAACAAAGAATATGGGTAAAACTGGCCAGTGAAAAGGGACTAGCACTTGATGCCTCCTGCCCCCCCCCTTCATTCCCCCACCAGGCGCATCCCCTTGTGCTGGCCCTGTGCGTGAAAATCTATTTGATTCTCTTTTGTAGAGATCAGAGAATCACTCAAGATGTGGATAAATTCAGCAATCAGTTCAGCAGTATTTTCTCAACTCTCGTCATCTCGCCATTTACTGTGGGCTACTACACTTATCAGTGTTACAAAAGGTGTGCACGACTGATATGAGTTCGAATGTCTTTAAACACTTCTAAAGCTGTTTCCATTTATGCCAATAGGCATGATCTGACAAGTTTTGTTAATCATTGAATGTTGTTAAGAGGAGATTTTTTGTATGTTACGTAACACGCGCTCAAAACTAATGCGTATAATATATCACTTGAGGTTATGACTAAATTCAAAATTTTTATTTTTCGATACGTTTCTCAATCGGCAAACAAACTTAAAAAGCATGTTTAGTGCTTTATCTGTAAAATAATGCAAAAATGAAGAGATTTTAGATGATACGCCAAAGAGAAAATGATGTCTGAAGTTCAGTAAGTTTTGCTTATATGGCTGTAAATATGGCGTCAATTTTAAAGCAACATCGATAATTGTATTTTAATTGACAATTTTTAACTATTATTTTATGTTTCTCAACCGGAAGATGCATTTAAAAAGGTAGCTAACTCTATAAACTAGAGAATAAAGCTAAAACAAAGTATAATTTTGAGAGGAACGCCAAAAAGATTTTAGGTTTTGAGCACTTTTCATTGCAAATACGTGACATTGAAAAAAATTGCCTCTTAAAAATATTTATCTCACATCAAGGCTGCCTTTTTAAGTATTTCTTGCACACTTCGCAAGTTTCTTTCGACAAATTTTCCTTCATCCAAAAACTGACATGCCCAGCTTTGGAACAAGACTCTCTGGCAGGGAATAATTGTCAATAGCCCATTTGCATTTTTGACTAAATTTTGATCTAAACAAGTCTAGACAAAAATTTCATCACAGCTTGAAAAAGCATCACAAAATTACTGACATTCCAAAGTTTCGTTGCGAAATGTTGTAAAATGCGGATAATATAGCCTTGCGAAGTTTGCCGTTTTTCAGTCATTTCGCATTACGCGGGGGAAATTGACAGCCCTATACTCTTTGGGGCTGTCAATTTCCCGTTTGTAATACAAAATGACTGAAAAACGGCAAACTTCGCAAGGCTATATTATCCGCATTTTACAACATTTCGCAACGAAACTTTGGAATATTACTAATTGTGTGATGTTCTTTCAAGCTGTGATGAAATTTTTGTCTAGACTTGTCTAGATCCAGAGTCCAGATCAAAATTTAGTCTATAATGCAACCTACACACGAGTAAATAAAACTTTTCAAGGAAAAATTACCTGTCTGTACAGGGCTTTGCTATACAAGATAAATCTTTGCACACTAACATTAATTTTGTGAAACTTTTCTCAGCATAGGTTATATTGGTCCCCTCAGTATATATGGCTATTTTATTGTCGGGACTTTATTCAACAAGATCCTGATGGCGCCCATCATCAAACTGGTTTTCCAACAGGAAAAACTAGAAGGCAATTTCAGGTAGGTTTGAAAGAATACGTTTGTGATATAGTCTTGTACTGTATGTGCCAGTGTAGTGGCAATAATATGAACAAGCTTTCGTTGGTGGGGATCAAACTACCTGAAAAATATAAGGAGAATTTCGACGTTTCCAGCGAAGGACTCCAGACGCAGGGCCTTCGCTCGAAACGTCGAAATTCTCCTTATATTTTTCAGGTAGTTGCATCCCTATCAACGAAAGCTTGTTTACTACCATTTGCAAGCTACCGTTAACCGTGATCGCCAAAACGCGTTTGTTTACGTTTGTAACGTGCACGTTTTGTGGGTGTAACGTGGTATTCATAACATGGAAACTGTCTCGTTTCAGGCGTTAAACTAACACGTTTGAGACGCCTTTTAATCATGTTTGACAAACGCGAGAGCATGTTTTGGCTGGAAACTGACACGTTTATTACACTATTTATTCATGTTTTGGTATGAAACGGCTAGGTTTACAAAACTTATACTAGTATAAATGTCTGTCTAGTCCGAGGTCTAGTCGCTCTTATTGTTAAAGCATGTCTGCACAAATAAAAATTTTGTACGGCCATGAGTACGAAAGATGCAAAACCGCTACAATCTCCATTGTAAAGTTCAAATCTTTAACTTTGGAAGGACTAGAAAGCTTGGTATTCTCCAATGTTGGTAGTTTCTATAGAGACTCTTCAAATTTGCGTATTCAATATCGAGATGATGAAAGCACGTTCGTGACAGTATCGAACCAAACTGATGTGCAGGATGCAATTCGCTGCTGTAAGACTGTAGCAAACGTAGGAGACAATAACATCGTCCGTTTATGCGTACGAGTGGATGACTCTGTCACTCCTCGGGATAATAAAAAAAAATGTCCATCTCCAGAAGTAATGGCGAAACAGCCTAGAAAGGTCGTCACTAAAAGGAGGAAATTACAATTTCTGTCTGAGTCAGACTCCGGACAGTCTGACGATGAATCGGATGATGATAATGTATTGTCTGTCAACGAGCGCCGTTCAGTGCCTGTAGTCGAAAGTATCGAAACCCCTTTGCAAAGGTATATGCACAAAGCGAAACGCGACATAGATGAAAAGAAAGACGCGCTTTATAAACTAGAAATGGACGAACGCGATACGCAAAGAAAACTCTTACGGGTGAAGTCTAGAGCAGAGGATGGGAATAGGTGCCGCAACTGTCATTTGCGGTTGGGACATACTGCAAGAAATTGTGATTTTGATAAATGTCAATCGGTGTTTAAATGTGGCGAAGAAAAGTTGCATCCAGGCGAAATAGATGGACGTGGGACTAGATGCGCGGTAAAGAAATTAAAGGGGGAAATCGCGAAAATGGAACAAGACCTAAGAAACAAAGAACAATCACTGAACAAGTTAAACGAAAGCTTGCCAAACAGGATCGAACGTGATTTGATGGAAGAAAATGCGAACAGATACTTTGAAGGAGGAGTAAAAAAGTGGACCCTCCTTCGTAAACATGTTTACTTAGTTGAAAAATACTGCAAGGATAATTTTAGAGGGAAACTACCAGCCAAGCATAATGTTTCCAATATTTTGAGCGTTGCGTTACAAGGCAAAACCATAGACGGAAATGAACGACAAAGTTTACAAGTGAAACAAGCACGATGTGGGTCAACGTCAACAAGAAGAAATCCTGCAAAACAACTCTTGGAAGATAATGGCATTACGTTTCCACTGGATGATAATTGTAAAGCATCGACCTCTTCAATAGGCTGCGATGATGAAAATACAGTTTATCGATGCGCACCGGCAAACGAAAACGAAGAGCAGGAACAACTGAGAATGGTTCTTCAACAGAGTATGTACGACATTAATCCATCAGCGAAAACCAATCCACACCAAATGCCAGCGACACATCCGAATCCAATGGCATCGACATATCCTAATCCAATGGCAATGGCAGCGACATATCCGAATCCAATGGCAGCTAATATGGCAGCGACATATCCGAATCCAATGGCAGCGAAATATCCGAATCCAATGGCAGTGACGTATCCGAATCCAATGGCAGCGACATATCCAAATACACTGGCAGCGACATATCCGAATCCAATGGCAGCGACATATCCGAATCAAATGGCAATGATCCCACAGTTTCCGATAGTTTACCCAACTCAGTACGGAGAAATGCCAAATCCCATGTTTTACTCAACCACGGGAGCCATGGCCAGTATGGCAACGCAGGAATTTTGTCCTCAATTTCCTGAACCAGAATTACAGATTGCAACTGCGGATGTAAACAAAGTCCCTCTCGAAGCTAGACTCAGTGAAGAGCCGATGAAAGTACCGCCTTCGTCCGAGGAAAATGATGCTGCCTTACAGCTTGTCTCTCTTTCGTCAACACAAAACTTGGAAGAACAAGGTACAGCCAAATAAACGCATTAATGTTTAAAATATAATCGTTGAGTTTGCAGTTTGTAAAGACAAAAGTGTATCTATATTAAGATACAATTAGGGCCATGCCCAGGGGCTGGTGGTACGCTGCAGCTTAAATATTGTTGTTGTGTTTATACAAGTTTCGTTGGGGAATTGATATTTGATTTTCTCATGGCAGTCACACATGAGCAAGTTTTCTATCACAAAATTTTATTAATTGGCCACTTTGCCAAAGGCCAAAAAGTGCCAGGAAAAGACAAAGTACAAATTTCAGTGCGGAGAAAATATCACGCAGTCGTCTATCACTGTTTGTTGTCAGCAGAATCATAATCATAGAAACTTTGTTCATCTGTGACCGCTGTTGCCTTTTATATACTGGAGTAAAGGAACAAGAGTGGCTCAACTTGCAAAAAAACTGATTTAAGTTCGTGTTATTTTCAGATAGTTTACAGTATCTGTCAATATAAACAAATGTAAACATTATTCATTAATATTTTTACAGTAATCGATTACACTCGGTCTAAGTTTTTGTTGCTCTCGTATCATTCCTCCTTTGTTAACTATATACAGGGCGCACCTTGCCACCTTTCTCTGTAAAACACTAAATGCGGTACTATATTTATGATCGATCGTACCACACTACATGCACTTGTAACATTTATCCAAATATTACAGTTGATTTCACATAACTTTTCCCCTGAACGTCCCAACGAAGTTCGCAACATTCAAAGTTCATAGGCTTCATACTGTATTACAGTGCTGTAATCATATTCACAAACCGGTTTGTAAACTAATGTATTTGATTGGCTTTACTTTCGTTCAGCGACCATCTGAGGCTTTGTTTACATACCGGCTGGTGAATTTCAGTATGAACTTGTGAACTTCGCCTAAGAAGCGAAGAACGAAGTACGCAATTTTAGGGAAAAGTTATATGAAATCAACTCTACAGTACTGAATGCAACGTCAACGAGAAGGGGTTTTATACATCTAAATTTTTAGCAACAATTTATAGGCTATTTTTTTTCTTTACACCAGAAACAGACCAAGAGTTTCGTTGTTCCCAAATGTCAATATTAAATAATGTGTATAGCTCTTTTTTAAAATATAGGGTGCTAAATGTAATACATTTAATGCCGTAAAGTCAAGAGTCAAGAATAGGGTTCATGGGCGTGTCTATATTACTGTGTCTACGCCTAGCTATGGACTATGTACTATATGAACTGATTTCTTAATCTTCAGGAAAGAGATAAGCAGTTGCGCGATAAAATCCATGGGCGTCATTCGACGAAACTCTTTCGACAGATTCAGCGACCGCCAACTTAAGGTTTTCGCGAACCGCACGAGAATACCGTCCATTTAGTTCTGTTTTTACCTTGTTGAAACATAACTCAATCGGGTTAAGATCAGGGGAATATGTCGGGGTATATAGTAATTCAATGCCCATCTCGTCCAAAAATTCTTCAAGAACGAAACCCCCATCATAATGGTGGACAGCTAGATTGTCCATTACCACAATGTCTCCAACCTCGAGGCATGGACGGCCAGATAATTCATTTACAGATTGCGATGCTTCCCAGAAAAAGTTTAAAAAATGTATTGTGTCAGTGGCACCGTTTAATATGTTAAAATATTCTGGACCATTGAGGGAAATTAGCAAGTTCAGGGTAAAATTGGGTGACTCCGTTTTTCTTGCAATTTCCACACAGCGTTCACCAGAGGGCGCGTTCCCATATAAACGAGTGCCAATGTCTGGGGTCTTAACGCCAGCCTCGTCAAAAAACTTTATTCTTTGGGGGTCTTTAGAGGACAAATAGTTGATATACAATTGCGTGTAAATCATATTATCATCCGTGAATCGTTCTTTTGCGACATGTGTAATACGCTTTCGTGTATATTGCTTTCCTGACAATAATCTTGATTTAACAGCCCGTGAAATAGTTGACATTGAAACGCCACCTGCAATATCACCGACATCTTCTAGCGTGGTATAAATTTCACGTAACTGAATCGAGCCCTGTGTTGTTTTCAACATCTCAATGAGTTCAAGATCTCCATCGGATAACTTGCGAATATAATCACCTCCTCTTGTTAGTGGACTTGTTCGCCTGTCGTTAAAACAATAATTGCGCCATATTTTGGCAACTGTATTCCCAGATACGCCCAGCTCTTCGCCCAGTGCCTTAAACTGAACTGGAAGATAACCACTTATCTGATCTCCTCCATAACGTAGACAACGGTCGATAATGAGCCCCGTAAATCGTTATCTAATGCCTTTCCACTGTGGTAAGAGCGTCCCAGCTTGTTGACGTTCATACTAGTATTTGTACATTGTTATATACATTTTCTGCCATTTCCTAACTATACTATTGAGTCTGTATACTAGTGTAATAAACGTGTCAGTTTCCAGCCAAAACATGTTCTCGCGTTTGTCAAACATGATTAAAAGGCGTCTCAAACGTGTTAGTTTAACGCCTGAAACGAGACAGTTTCCATGTTATGAATACCACGTTACACCCACAAAACGTGCACGTTACAAACGTAAACAAACGCGTTTTGGCGATCACGGTTAACGGTAGCTTGCAAATGGTAGTATATACAGGGTTATGATGAGGAAAGGTTCGCAGTCAAAGTTAATCGAAATTTCCTGTGTTTGATTTGCTTCAATGTCCTTAAAGACCCGGTTCTGTGTCCGAAAAATCAACATTGTTTCTGCCGTGCTTGTATTACGAAACATCTCGAGAATTCTCGAAAATGCCCTACGTGTGCGGACGAACTGACGGTAGAGACTTTGGCGAAACCACAAAGAATGATAAAAGATTATTTAGATGAATTAAATATTCATTGTGTTTACAACAACAGGGGTTGTGAAGAGATCGTACAACTGCAACATCTTGACAACCATGAGGCTACATGTGGATTTACACCAGCCGTTTGTACAAACCCAGGCTGTGGTGAAATTTTAAACCAGCGTGATCTTATTAACCACGAAAGTGAACTATGTGAATTTCGCAAGTTGAAGTGCCACTCGTGCGGACAAATGGCAGAAACGTTGGCAGATATTGAGAAAAGAATGGGAAGGATGGAGACAAATGTGGCGACTGTCGAGACAAATGTGGCGACCAATATGGCGACTGTGGTTGCCATGAAAACCTGCATGAATGATGTACAAGCGAATGTACAGACACAAATTGCAAATGTGGAGAAGAACATGGAGAGAAACACCGCAGACATAAAAACAGACATGGACGGAAAACTCGAAGCAGTGAATAATGAGATGAAAGGATTGAAAACAGCTTTGATTGAAGGTTTTGATGAAATGAAGGATGTTCTTGTCAAGATGGAGGACAAGATAGAAGAAAATGCGAGAAAAGTCAGAAATGCAGCAAGTGGTGATAAGGAAAATATAATTGTTGCTGGAGGTGCAGAAGGAACTGATTCTGTAGAGATGTTTAACTGGCGTCAAAGAACATGGTCGCCATTACAATCCTTGCCAAAGAAGCGTTTTGGAGCAACTTCATTTGTATACCACAATCATGTGACAATTGCTGGAGGTTACTGTTCTGACTATGTCGATGATATGATTAGAATGAATATAAACCCAAACCCTGATCTTTCAACACACTGGAGTGACTGTCCTGTTAAACTGCCTGGTAAGTTGGTATACCACAGCAGTGTGCTGTATAATGATTAGCTAATAGTCACTGGTGGTTTTAATGGAAATGCAGTATGTGACTGTATTCATGAAGTCCAGCTTACCCCTCCTTATACCGCGAAGACCTTATCAAGAATGCCAGAACCAAGAACGCGCCACAGCACACAATTATTTGATCATAGTTTGTTGATGGTGGGTGCAAGTACAAGTGTTGTACTGTATGATATAAAGAAGAATGAATGTAAACAGTTGGCACCACTGCCGTATGAAGTGAGTGATATGGCAACTGTGAGATGGGGAGACAACATCGTTGTTATAGGCGGCATTGACAAATGTGGCAATGTATTAGATACAGTGATCATTTACAATGTCAAGACTGAACAAAGTTGCATGTTACCGCCGATGAGATGTAAGAGGAAGGAATGTACTGCCATTGTTATTGAAAACAACATTGTAGTACTAGGAGGAGAGGATGAGCTGGGACGTTCTTTAAGGTCAGTTGAAGCTTTCAACTTAGAATGTTATACTTGGCAAGAACTTCCAGAAATGTCTCGAGCAAGACGGCTTCACACTGCTGTTGTTGTGTAAACAATGTAAGAATCTGAACGTTGAACTCATTTCTTTGAGATAACAATTGACTTTAATCATATTATGAACCTCTAAATTTGACTAAAATCCTATGGCTATGGGGAATTGTATTATTATAGTTTATAGTTTGACATGTGTAATCAAAATTATACTCAGTTTTTTAACGATGCATATGGTAATATTGAATTAATTTTTTGAGTGAAAACTATACCCTAGTCAAACAAGGATGAGAGTTGATGAGAGTTATAACTCTTGCTCGTGTTTGAACGCCAAATCTCATCGACTGCTCTTGCATTAGATCTGTTATGGAATATGCGTGTCAGGTCTTTCATAGTAATCTGCCACCATATTTGTCAAATGAAATGGAAAGGATTCAGAGACGAGTAATGCATGTGATCTTTCCAGACCTCAGTTATAGAGAAATTGAGTGGTGATATTTATTTAGTAATATTGTTAAGAATGATAATCATAAATTAGCCTATCTATTACCTCCTAGAATATATATATATATATATATATATATTTTTGTTATATCATGACTGTGTCAGACTTGTTAGAACAACCTTGTAACAAGTCTGATAATGCCACCAAGCTTGTTACAAGTTACAAGACAGGTAATACAGGTTTGGGACATAAGGCCGTTTTCCACTTCGCCCGTATCGTACCGTAATGTACCGGTGAGCATGCGCAGCTTGAAGATGGATTTTCATGGACTTCCGGTTGATTCGCAATCTCGTAGCCAGAGCAATGCCTGTGCGCGGGCCAGGGTGTTATCCAGGATTTCAAAAGTGGGCGTCCAATATAATTTTGTGGGCGTGGCCACAATTTTTTGTAGGCGTGATCACATGTTTTTGGGCGTGGCCGCAATCTTTTGTTGTTGTGGAATTGTGGTGTTCTATTCGTTAAACCTTTTTACTTTTAGTCAGTTTATATGCACATTTCCGTCATTAAATTAAATAAAAGCACATGTATGGTATGAACTGTATGATCACTACGACGTACATTATACCGGCTATGATGAAGAACACAATACAGCAGTGTAGTGTTTAGTTATTTTTATAGCCATCTTTACCGTTACTGTAACTCTAAAGCACGTCGCGCTCAAGCGATAAAGCGACTGCTGTTTTTTAAAACATCGGTTTCAAATTATTCTCCTTGATACTTCATGCGAGAATCATCAACATGGTTACAAAAACATTGCGCATTTGTCGATACTTCAATTCAGCCATATTCAACGTGTTTTCGACCGGAAATGTATGAAAACATATACCATAAGTAAAGTGGACAGCAGATGACAACAATTCGAAGTATTCAAGAAATACTACAAAGCTTGTAAATTGCTATTTAAACAAAATATTCCCTTAGGCCGTCCATTAAAATTTAGCCGTCCAAATTCAGAAGTGGCCGTCCGTAGGACGGTCGGACGGCCGCCTGGCTAACACCCTGGCGCGGGCTAGGGTGGCATTGGCTCTGGGGAAATTGAATTTTTCCTGTGCTATGATTGGTTTAACGTTTATCAATCGTACATGCCGGCAAAGGACCGGAACCCCTAAATTTAGGGGTTCCGGTTGTCAATTTCCCCAGAGCCAATGCCTTCTTAGACGCGCACAGGCACTGCTCTGGGTACGAGATTGGTTGATTCACACGCGTATCAAAATACTTTTTAGCGTACTACGGAAGTATTAACCAATCGACATTCACTAAATTTTGAAATTTAAAATTTGTTTTGATACGTTACGGTACGGTGCGCTTGAAGTAGAAAACGGCCTCTAGTCTGAGAGTATGTTAGTCAGTTGATTTGTAAGCTCGCGAGAAAATACTCAGAATGCTTTACGTATATTAAATATATGGTTAAATGTCTAAACATGTCGAGGTTGTCATACAGCCATATTTTCAAATATACTATCAGTTTTACAAGCAAATTTACTGTACTGTGCTGCAGCAAGTCCAGTCACGCATACGTGATAAAAAGCCGATATAAACATTATAAACAAAAGATAATGTAAAACGTAACAAAACGGCAAACATGCAGATTCGGCGATTTCAAATAATGGAAATGGTGGGATAGTAGCGTTGCAGACTGTAGAGGAGAGTGGGCAGTAAGGCTCCATCATGTACTGTACCACCCCATGGAAAACATGTACCCCACCTTGCAGATGAGGCCAGATCTGCCCCTCTTTTTTACAAGTGTGATGCCAGTGTAAGATACATGAACTTGCGGTTAGAGCTCGACAACTGGCGTCTGTAGCTCAGTTGGTTAGAGCTCGACAACTGACTCTTTGTAGCTCAACTGGTTAGAGCTCGACAACTGGGCTCTGTAGCTCAGTTAATTAGAGCTCGACAACTGGCGTCTGTAGCTCAGTTGGTTAGAGCTCGACAACTGACTCTTTGTAACTCAGTTGGTTAGAGCTCGACAACTGGCCTCTGTAGCTCAGTTGGTTAGAGCTCGACAACTGGACTCTGTAGCTCAGTTGGTTAGAACTCGACAACTGGACTCTGTAGCTCAGTTGGTTAGAGCTCGACAACTGGACTCTGTAGTTCAGTTGGTTAGAGCTCGACAACTGGCCTCTGTAGCTCAGTTGGTTAGAGCTCGACAACTGGACTCTGTAACTCAGTTGGTTAGAGCTCGACAACTGTCTCTCTGTAGCTCAGTTGGTTAGAGCTCGACAACTGGGCTCTGTAGCTCAGTTGGTTAGAGCTTGACAACTGGACTCTGTAGTTCAGTTGGTTAGAGCTCGACAACTGTCTCTCTGTAGCTCAGTTGGTTAGAGCTCGACAACTGGGCTCTGTAGCTCAGTTGGTTAGAGCTCGACAACTGTCTCTCTGTAGCTCAGTTGGTTAGAGCTCGACAACTGGACTCTGTAGTTCAGTTGGTTAGAGCTCGACAACTGGACTCTGTAGTTCAGTTGGTTAGAGCTCGACAACTAGCCTCTGTAGCTCAGTTGGTTAGAGCTCGACAACTGGACTCTGTAACTCAGTTGGTTAGAGCTTGACAACTGTCTCTCTGTAGCTCAGTTGGTTAGAGCTCGACAACTGTCTCTCTGTAGCTCAGTTGGTTAGAGCTCGACAACTGTCTCTCTGTAGCTCAGTTGGTTAGAGCTCGACAACTGTCTCTCTGTAGCTCAGTTGGTTAGAGCTCGACAACTGGGCTCTGTAGCTCAGTTGGTTAGTGCGCTGTACCGGAACCGCAGGGCCGCAGGTTCGATTCCTGTCAGAGCCCAGAGGGCCTGTAGGGCATTTTTCGCAGCTGTTCCTGGTTAGGTCTAATAAATGTATATAAATTTCCACTCGATAATTTCCATCTACAAGACCCTTCAACTATTATTGAATCGAGTGTGATGGCAACAAATTCGATTCTTGATATTTACCCATAACCTAACATGTATGAAAAGGTATGAAATTTACACTCAAATTTTTCAATTCCAATAAAGCTCATCAACCTCTTACTCCATCGTGTGAGATGAGCAAAATCCGTTTGAGAATCTATGTTGCTATTTCCCGTTCAGAATCAATATTATACTCATCTTTTTTTTTCAGATTCAAACATATGCAGCTTCGAGTCAATGCTGAATCTACTGCTTTTTACCAGTAAGCTGTATTTTAGTCTTCAATATTTGACTGAGTCATGCTTTGGAAATTACAATGAATTTTTATTACCCATTACTCACTCAACGGCGATGAAATTTTCTACCCGGGCTGAAATTTCTGTCATATAATCGCTTGCTGTCTTTTAATAGGATTTTATCCTTAGGCCGGCCTGAAATTTCAGCCCGGGAAATCGGGATGAAACTCAGCCCGGGCTGAAAACTCTCCACATAATCAGCCCCTATGTAGTATATCAACAAACCTTAACTGATCCGTTTCCGCCCACAGTAAAGTCTATATTTAGTGTCTAATCAAGATGTCCCAAGATGAAGATAAATGACAATTTCACACAATAACAATCTAATTATAGTTAAACTGATGAATATATATTATGAACAAATATAGCACTAACCAATCAAAAAATTGTTTTGTCTGATAAACCTTATCAGGTGAAAAGCTAATATATTTTTCATGCGGTCAGATAGCAATTTGTTTCGTCAGGCCCTTTTCCCTTCTATTCTCACCCGAATTTAAGGAAGGGAATACAAGGTCTGATACTCAGGCTAGTTATAAACATTTTCGTTATGTTGTGTAGTTCTGGGTTGCTTGAAGAAAAGAAAACAAATGTTAAGTTTGAGGTATTTTCCGAGAATCTCAATACTAAGCTGTTAACGACTTGTATAGCAAGCTTGATGGCATTATCAGACTTGTTACAAGGTTGTTCTGACAAGTCTGATACAGTTATGATATAACAAGAATTAATGTTACAAGGTTGTGACCCAAGCGAACACAACTTGTTGAAGGCTTGTTGGCAAAGTCTTAGAGCAACACACGCAAAAATCTCACATCTTGTAGCAAGTCTGCTAACAAGTTGTCAACAAGTTGTATTCGCACTGCTTGTCCCAAGTTGTCAACAAGTATGGAACAAGCTGTTAACAACTTGTGACAACCTTGTTGATATTATCAGACTTGGTGCAAGGTTGTTCCTACAAGTCCGATACAGATTCTGTATCAGATATACAAACTCCTTCACGCTCATGATTTCTTTTGTGCTTTCATGAATTATTAATGAGTTTCACAACACTTTTTACAAAACGTTCGTTATTTGCTACTGTTTAGAACTTACTTGGTGTTCAACTCAAGTTGGTTATCTATCAGCTCTTGCTTCAATGTAAGTTGTGATTGGATAAAATGTATAGGGGTTTGGTGCATCTATATGAAAGCCTGGATCCCCAACAACTATAGTATCGTCATTTCTATAACACAAATTTACACTGTGGATATAATCAAATGCGCTTCACAGCAAGTATCACGCTTACCGAATTACTTACTTAGCCTAGACTATTTTATCTAAACAACAATTGTGATGTTTTTTATGTTACTCTGAGTGTATATCCACACCGGGCACTCGGGCAGGCTGAAAGGTTAGCCTGATCACGGTGGGAATCGAACCTGCTACCTTTGGGATACTAGTCCAATGCTCTGCCAACTGATCTACGAGGCCAAGTCTGTCTTATTTAGGTAGTCCAAGAACCAAAAAAGTGGTACGGTACCAAAAATCGAGCGTAGTGTAAACGGGGCTCAAGTCTAGTAGTACCTTCGATACCGATGTGTTCTATGATCATGATATTTTTTGTGTGTGTTTTGATTACTTTCTTAACTGTGTTTATCCTAACACACCCTGTCAACTTTCCCTGTGGGAGGAAACCCTCGGAGCACCCGGAGAAAACCCACGACTTTCGGCAGAGCGTTGACGGAATCTTTTCACGTGAGTCCGTAGCAAGAACCGAACCCCAGCATCTCAGATGCGAAGGACGCTTGCTCGATACGCCACCGAAGTCTCATCATTATATATACTTTTGTGATGTAAGTTGAAATTATATCGATTTGTGATGTTTTAGGTTCGGTGAATTTTTTCGATTATTTTGGTTCAATAGTGAGTTACATGGTAGTCAGTATCCCGTTATTTATTGGTGATTTTGATGACTTAATGCCAGGAGAACTGGCTGGCGTTATAAGCAAGGTATGCGTGAATACAATTTTACAGGGAGAGGATGTATGGTCTTTGTACGACGTTTAATATACGCATGACGCTTGTGCTGCCAATTTTCGATTCGTGTAAATTATATTTAAAGAAATTGTTGGTTAATGTTAGCGCCACTCGCATTCACCACTATCAGCAACACCATCAATACCACTAAGAGCAATATCATTATAAACAGTATCATTATCGCCACCATCATCACCAGCGCCATCATGCGTCATCATCACCGCGGCACCATCATCACCACTGTCATCATAGTCAACTCCACCACTATCACCACGCTGTTACCTTGGTGATGAACAGTATCACCATTACCATCATCATAACGTCATTATCAGTGACCATAGTTAATATAATATTAGACAAACACTCTGCTAATACAGACCACCTTTTGCAGCTTAGTAGCCAATACATCACCACCTTTTGTAGCTGGAAATCTTATGTAGTTCCTAAACCTTTTTGCCTACCAGTGCTTACATAGTTATTTATCTATAATTTAAAGGCTTTCAGAAATTATTACGGGCAGTTGTCCCTATCCCCCCCCCCCCAAGGTCCCCACGGTCCTTGAAAATCCTGGAAAGTACTTGAATTTGTTTTAAAAAAATCCAGGCCTGGAAAGTCCTTGGAAACTGATAAGGTCCTTGAAAGTCCTGGAATTTCAATTAAAATTATGTTATAACAATTGTCCAAAAGTTGTGTTGCGAAGCGGATATTCGACGGTCAGTCGGTCACGTAATTTGATATTTGTTCACATTATGATTATGTGTAAACTAAAAAGGTGGTTACATGAAGTTGCCAGGTGGCCCAGGTCCTTGAATATACTGAAAAAGGTCCTTGAAAGTCCTGGAAAAGTCCTTGAATTTATCTTCACTAAAAGGTGGGACCCTGCCACCTCCCCCCACCTCCCCATTGATCATCACCACCACCATCGTCACTACAATCATAATCACCAATATTCGAGGTATTAATATCATAAGTCTCATTACTTGTCATTTTTCAGTATTCTTTCATATCGATGTATCTGGTGCACTCGTTCTCTCAACTTATTGATCTCTCAAATAAAGTTTCCGACATTGCGGGATACACGCACAGGTAATTTGTCAACTTATTTACTTCGTGACATGGCTGCCGAAGATTTAGTAAGGATAAATAAACTAAAAGGCTAGCGATGTTGAAATCTTGGTTGGGCAGTGGTGTAACTTTACTTTTTTGAACAAGTTGGACATCAAAATTAGTTGCCCGGAATAAAATTCACTTGCCATCAGACAATGGCCTCCTTCGCTAGTTTCGTTATGCAAAGCGAAACATCGACACTCGCCGATCTAATAAATGTATAAAATTTAGACTTGAGATTCCCTGCTACAAAACTCTTCTTTTGTGTGTGTTTTGATGTTATCTACTCAGGTGAATATAATGTTTAGGGTAAACAGTTAGCCTGACCACGGTGGGAATCGAACCCGCGACCTTTGGAATACTAGTCCAATGCTCTGCCAACTGAGCTACGAGGCCAAGTCGGTTCGAGTATGTGGTATTTCGGAACTCTATAGCCTGCGAACAGGCTCTCAAGCTGAATTGAGAGCCTGCATCGATGACTAATGAATTTGAATATCTGCCCCGTAACGTTCGTTTTTCCAAATATGGAATGTCTATCCTTATATGGTGTTGTTTACAACTTTCGTGCAAACTAAATTTAGACCGTGCAAACTAAATTTAGACCGTACAGTTTATACTGTTTTTCGAAATATAAGATATTCAAGCAAAAGTTCAAATGTTTTAAATACTGTTTTCTCAAAACAGAACATTTCGTGCTTTGAGATAAGACGGCCAAGACCAATTTGATCAGTTAATGTGTTTTTTATGCATAGTGCTTCAGCAGTTGACATATATAGAGCTCAGCGGAAACATATAAATTATAGCATCTGACCAATGAGAATTTCGCGTCATGATTTGAGACGCAGATATTCAAATTCATTAGTCATCGATGCAGGCTCTCAATTCAGCTTGAGAGCCTGTTCGCAGGCTAGGAACTCTAGTGCCTTAGATACCAATGTGCCCTTATGATCATGATATTTTTTGTGTGTGTTTTGATGTTATGAACTCGGGTGAATATAATATTTTTGATGTTACTCTGAGTGTGCATTCACGCCGTGGGCAAGCTGAAACGTTTGCCTGACCACGGTGGGAATCGAACCCGCGACCTTTGGGATACTAGTCGAATGCTCAGCCAACTTAGCTACGAGGTTAAGTCGGCGAGTTTGTGGTATTTCGGAACTAAGTCTAGTACCTTCGATGCCATTGTGTTCTTATGATCATGATATTTTTTGTGTGTGTTTTGATGTTATGTACTCAGGAGAATATAATGTTTCTGAGTGTGTATCCACACCGAGCAGGCTAATCTCTTAACGAGCTCAGTTGGCAGAGCATTGGACTTGGTATCCGAAAGATCGCGGATTCGATTCCCACCGTGGTCAGGTAAACGTTTCAGCCTGTCCGATGTGGATATACACTCAGAGTAACATCACAAACATTATTTTCTACAAGTTCTATCAAGTAAGACGCCCAAAATCCTTATGAAATTCTTGGCTAATTACAGGATTGGCGAAGTGTTGGAGTTTTTTAAGGAGAAAACAGGACCGTCACAAGATTCGTTCAGGTTTGAAGATAATTTGGACGATGGTATTTTATTCAAGATAGAAAATCTGACGTACTCAGCACCGCAATCCATAGACAAACCCTTGGTGAAAGGTAGCTATCATTCAATTCAATCCTTTTAATATTGAAATTTGAAATAGAGATTTGGTGTAGTGATTCCTATATTTCAACTTCATATAGATTTAGATCTGGAGATTCATCGTGGAAAAAATGTTTTAATAACTGGAAAAACAGGTATGAATGCAAGATTGCAAAGCACCTTGTGCACCACGGCAAACTAATCCATTCTTAGGGGGAAATATTATACAAACAAGACGCCTGCTCACTTAAAATAACGGTACCTGACACGCTTGTGTGATGTCTGGAATTTGAGAGCATTCAGATCAGCAAATATTGCTATATTCTTGAGCGCAAAATTTAGCTATTGCTACCAATACAATTTAGAGCAATGCCGATATATAAAATCAGTCAATACTCAATAATTCAAGAGTGAACGACTCGAGTTCAATTGATGTTTACTTTTCCTTCTCACGTAAACAATCAAGTTCGCCCTCAGACACCTCAGAAAAACACGAGCCCGAAGCCATTTTTTGAAAAAATGCGCCAGGAAAATGGCTGCGCTCCTTCGCCCAGCGGCTACGCTCGTGTTTCAAGATCCGCCATGTAAAGTGTAGTGAAATATATCTCATCGTAATATTAAATCCTAAGAAAACTAAAGCCTCTGCGGAGGAGAGAGGTCCTGCTGCTCGTTCTCTATCGAGGAATAGATAGCGAGTAGAGTAGCCAATCAAATTACAGTATTTGCAATAGTATACTAGTATAAGGTACTTTGGTATAAGATACTACTATAAGGACACCCTTGTATAATAATGGATAACTGGGTATGTCATATTTTTATCTTTTTCTTTAGGCAGTGGAAAGAGTTCGTTGTTAAGGGTCATGTGTGGTTTATGGCAACCTGATTGTGGTGAGTCCATGATTGCAAACATTTGCAATTAGCCTTTCTCCCGAAGGCCAAAATCCGCCATTTTTTATGTACTGTCTGCCCTCGTGAAAGATTTTAGACAATTCAAACAACGTGAAAAGCGACTTTTAAAAGTTGTAACTGTAAATTTACCTTTATACAAACAACTACAATACTAAAAAGTTGTATTTGGGAGAGGCAGTACCCCAAAAATGGCGGGAAAATCAGCCGTGAGAAAGTCTAATTGTATGCAGTTTTGCTTTTAACTAACATATACCCTTGACTCAGTAATTTTGCTTCGGTGGGATGCGAGAAGAGTGCAGCTTTCCACTCTATATCAGGCGGGGGTGCAAAACTATCGGACCACGGACGATTTTTCAAGTCTATACAGAAGATACTCTGTTTTTATATTGAACTAATTGAAGGCTGTTTCATATCGCGTCTCCATGCTAGACTATAAGCCTTGCTTAAGTTCGCTAGTGTTTTCCGAGGGAGAACAAATTTGACAGAATTGGGGTCGGTTGTTCAAAGCTAGATTACCCAGGGCTAAAAAATAACGGCCGGTCAACGGACACGACCGGGCAAAAATGCCTCTTGACCGGTCACTTTTTTACCTCACCGGTCATTTTGACCGGCCATATTTTCATGCCTTGCAATGTGATTGCTGACGTCTTGAATTAAAACATGAAACTACGATATATATCGAAACAACTGTTAGTGTAAGCGTATCAATTAAGGCCATGTTACACGGTGCAATTTTTCTTGCAACTTGCAATGCAATTCTACTCTTGAGAGATGTTAATTAGTGAAATCAGTGAAGAATTTTCGATATGTTGAGAAAACATCAGCGGAGTGTAATGAAGACTCGTATTTGGCAATTTTACATCTCTCAAGAGTAGAATTGCATTGCAAGTTGCAAGAAAAATTGCACCGTGTAACATTGGCCTTTAAGGCCCTGTCACACTATTGCGTATATACGAGAGAAACGTATGAGAAGCGTATGAAAATTAATGAAATAATTTTCATACGCACAAAAATCCTTTGAAATGCCAGCGTATGAGTACCGTACATCTGGCGTACCTCTAGCGTATTCAGCGTGTGCCTAGAGCATGCTTATCGTATAAAGCCATACGTCCGATACGCACAAAATTTTTGAACATGCTTAAAAAAAAATTCTGCCTCGCCGTATGCCAGCGTATGCCACCGTATGCGACCGTGCTTGAAGCGTATACAACCTATGCCTAACGTACCCCTAGCGTACGTCAGCGTATACCGGCGTATGAGTGATATTTTTCATACGCTGGCATACGCTAGTACGATACGCAATAGTGTGACAGGGCCTTTACCAGTCAAAAACAGGTTTTGACCGAGCTAAAATCAAGTTGCTAAAATTAGTTTATGCATTTCTACACGTCTGTTTATTTCAAAACTTCTGACAAGAAAATTCCTACTGATTCAGACAAGATTTCTAAAGAAATATTTCCAAATTTCTAAACAAGCTGTCAGGAAGTTTGCTTTGAATTTTAGGTTAAGGGACTGGTCATAAAGTAACTGCTAGGGTGGGCTGGAGGTAAATCACAAATTTTGCCAATAAGTTTGGTGACCCATCTTAGGATGTAGATAAAAATTTCAAAGCCCATCTAATCTTACAAAAAATTTTTCATGACCCACCCAATCTAAATTGCAAAAATACACTTTTATAATAAAAAAACTTGCAGATATGAACATTGTAAATATACACAGCACTGTATTGACATACATAATTCCACCAAGTTTGACCAACACATTGATACTGAGCTGCTCTCCAGTTGGTTGTATTTGCTATGATTCGACCACTTCTTGTTGTTGTATAAACAGAGTACTGGCTTCAAGAGCATCATTTGCATTTGATAATTTGGATATAGTTTTGTTTACTTTTATTATTAATATATTTATTTTTTGAAGTAAACATGCATGGGTTTTTGTTTGGTGGCCCAACCGTGGACATACAAAAAAATTGGCGGCCCATCGAAACTGCCCAAAGATTTTCCATGGCCCATCCCAAATCACTCCAGCCCACCCTAGCAATTACTTTATGACCGGTCCCTTAGGTCTAATAAATTTATAAAATTTATACTCGAGATTTCCACCTATAAAATCCATCTTTAGTTACAGTATATCGACTGCACCTTACATTGGCGTCACCTTAGTGTATAAAAGTGACTATATAATAGTTTTGTTTGTGGAAACACCGCGTAAATTTATTTATACTGCAAAGCTTTCGATCCGTAAGCCCGGATCTTCAGCAGTGCTAATAATATGTGACTTGTTTAATTCACACGCCCTTTTTAAAAGGGCGTGTGAATTAAACAAGTCACATATTATTAGCACTGATGAAGATCCAGGCTTACGGATCGAAAGCTCTGCAGTAATAAATTTACGTGGTGTTTCCACAAACAAAACTATTATATGTTTTATCGCCATGCAAACATACAAAGAACTTAAAAGTGACTATATTAGTCACTTTTACAAGTGATTGTTATGGCACTGTATTTGACCGGCTCAAAATTTGTCGTTTCCAAGCGAGAACAGGCCAGACAACTTGACCGGCGCCTGTCCGGCCGTTATTTTAAAAAAAAAAATCAAGATTTTGTTGGCATCGCACTCGATTGAATAATATAGTTGCAGCAGGCTGCTCCATTTACTGTTCTGGAACATTTGGAACACTGTTCTGGAACGATATAAAATGGAATGCACACGGTGTTCTGGAACAGTGTTTAGTTATATGTGCGTGCAACCATGCATTACTATATTCATTAGTTATTCGCATAATGAATCGTATAATGATTTGCTGTTATTTGTATATCTAAGTATGCT